ACCTGCAACGAAGCATTCCGTACTTTTGAATGGTAAGTACTCATTGTAAATTTAAGTCTTATGTTTTTCCAGAAACTCTCCGGTCAGATTATCTTCCGCAATGTGCATTTCAACTACCCAACCAGAAAACAGATCAAAGTACTCCGAGGACTGAACCTAGAGGTAACTGGGGCTCTAAACTTTTGGCGCAGTTCGGCTTCGCGCGGGGAGCACTAGCTGGTTCACATCGATCACTGCCGATGCTTGCTCTGGGGACCTGTAAATTCTTGTGGCTATGCGGTAGCAGGAGCTTCGCTTACACTACAAGAGTCTGCAGGTCTCACCAAGTTAAGACGTGCAAGTCAACAGGAACAAGCAAAAAGACCTTGAGTAAGACAAAACGCCCCTTCCAAGCCGAACAGCGCCTTTATCGACAATAGTGTGCGTAAGATACGGGTTAGTCATGTGCAGCAATAGTTGTTCTTGTGGAATTTTCTGTAATTCTATGGCGTTTCAGGTAGAACCTGGTACCACGGTAGCACTGGTTGGACGATCTGGATGTGGAAAGAGTACCGTAATGGCGTTGTTGGAGCGATTCTACAACCTAAACAAGGGCAATATTGTAAGTCAACTGTGGCTTTGCTGTTCCATTGGTAGAACCATTCAATAGAAATTCGTGATTGAAATCGACTTGAAACGAGAAATGATAATATTGATCCATTCTGATCCTATCCTCCGAAAATACTGTCGAACTGTCCCACAAAATGATTAAGTCATACGGTATTTTTCAGATGGTCGACGACGAAAACATCAAGAATATGAATATTCGCAATCTTCGTGAACAGGTGTGTATCGTCAGTCAGGAACCGACCCTATTCGACTGTACCATCATGGAGAACATCTGCTATGGACTGGAGGACTCAAAACCTTCCTACGAGAAGGTGGTAAACGCAGCAAAAATGGCAAACATTCATAATTTCGTACTGGGACTACCAGAGGTGAGGGTTATTTGGGTTATTTTGCTTTGGGTGACGTGTCATTGACGTCATACATGGACCTCATTGGCGTGTTACGACACGTTATTCACGCTACGATACAGAATACTTCGTCGTTAGCGCGCCAGATGTAACGCCACCCCTTCAACTCTCCTCAGATGACGAAGCCCAGAGGAAGTACTGTAAGAAAAATAAGAAAGCAAAGTGGTCCCTGCGAGCGACTTTGGGGGCATGGTAACACTCAAAGCGCTGATTTAGAAAGCAGGATGGGCGAGGTCCATGTCCAACACACGTTCCGCAATACTTGAATGGGCGGAGACTGGTAGCCGTTGTGCCTTCCTTATTGGCTCGTCGGCGGACAAGAACAATCGTGATTTGGTCGCGAGCGTCGTGGCCGCCGCATCGTGCGGTAGTGCGCGGCCGATGCTCATGCATTAATTTGTCGGCTGGTGCAGCAAAACTCGTGTGAATTCAAGGGGAGGCAAGACTCCATGCCAACTGATGTCGGTTTGTCTCGTCCCCTTGACACTCAACTTCAGGACGCTACAACTCGTCTCTCGGTGTCGCTCTCCACTCCCTGCGACATGTTACGATTGTCTTTTCAACAGCCCTTTCCTGCACCGGGAAAAAGGCAACACCATATAGGGTGTAAGAACAGAGAAAATGGAGGTGGCCATGGCAGCGAGCGCGTTCCTGCGGTGCAGAATTCTTTTAGACGTTAGTGTCACAAGGAAGAATAGGGCGGGTTAATTGAACACACCACCGCGCACGTTTTATGGGCGGGAACCCGTAGCGTTGGCTTTCGCAGCTGGTGCATCTCTACCCGAAAATAAGATGCACCGTCCAAGGAAGATCGCAATCGGTTGCGAGTCTGTATCCATGATCGACTTTCAATGAATCTTGGCATCGTGTGAGGTCCTTCTGATAAGATGTTAAAACCACCGCCAAGATATTACAAGTTTATTTGGCTAACGTTTCGGCCTTGTCGCCTTCGTCGGAGCCTGGAAAGTCAAGATAAGGTGACCTACCGCCGAATGCCATTTCAGACTTAAGGACAGCTCACCGTAGACTAAAAGGCGTCTAGGAGGTCCTCGTCACGCTCACAAGCAACAAAACAACTAACCTTAGGAACGCACGGCTAGCTCGAATTCGACCACCGCTAAACTGACTCACTGTGGACGGCTTCAGCTGACCCAGCCCCTCGACCTAAAGCCGATGGCGATTGAAGCCCACACAGGTCAGCGAAGGGGGCGAGCTCACTCGTTATGGCTAGGCATTCATCTTTCCTGTTCAACTTGGGGTCTTTGGCGCGTATCCAGAAGGCCTCCAAAGTTTTGCGGGCTGCAGTGTGAGGCTCTCGCGACAAGATCCTGACAGAGACTTGGAACTCCGCCCCTCCGTGCCCGTACATTCTGTGTCCACCCAGGGGGTCTGGGGCCTTGATTTCTTCCCTACGCAGGTCCAGCCTCGACTCAATGGTCCGGGTGGTCGAGATCCCTCCCACGTCCCTCAAGCAGCAATTGGTCCGCAATCGCTGGTACGACCGGTATTGCCTTACCCCCATTGTGTTATCTGCCCACATGGGAAGCAGGGGGACTGCATGGCATCAGGTGTGATCTACCTGATCTCATGCACCCTCTGTGGGGACGAATACATCGGCGAAACCGGGCGACCCACTGCTCCAGGGTTAAGGAACATCTGGACGGGATGAAGAAATCAAGGCCTCAGACCCCCCCCCCCCCTGGGTGGAACAGAAGTACGGGCACGGAAGGGTGGTATTTCGCAAGTCTTCGGTCAGATCTTGTCGCGAGAGCCTCACTACTGCAGCCCGCAAAACTTTGGAGGCCTTCTGGATACGCGCCAAAGACCCCAAGTTGAACAGGAAAGATGAATGCCTAGCAATAACGAGGAGCTCACCCCTGACCCTGTGTGGGCCTCAATCGCGCTGTCGCTTTAGGCGAGGGTGATTCAGCTGAAGCCGTCCACAGTGAGTCTAAGTAGCGGCGGTCGAGACGTAAGCTCACCGTGTCTCTCCTAAGGTGTAGTGTCTTTGTGCTGTGAGGTACGAGACCTCCCTAGACGCCTTTAGTCTACGGTGAGCTGTCCTTAAGTCTGAAATGGCATTCGGCGGTAGGTCACCTTATCTTTGACTTTCCAGGCTCCGACGAAGGCGACAAGGCCGAAACGTTAGCCAAATAAACTTGTAATATCTTGGCGGTGGTTTTAACATCTTATCAGAAGGTTGCGACGGCTACCAAGCTCTGCATGTGTCTCAAGTTTCATTCTACTCATTTTTCCATTGTTTTTTTATTTGTTTTTATTATTGGTCTAAGAGAAAAGGGTCAGCTATATTGATATTGATAGCTCTGATGCACCATTCGCGAAGCATGAACACGTTTTCAGGGTTACGACACCCGAGTCGGCGAGAAGGGTACTCAATTGTCTGGCGGGCAGAAGCAACGAATCGCGATCGCTCGAGCGTTAATTCGGGATCCGCCTATACTTCTGCTGGACGAGGCGACAAGTGCACTTGACACGGAGAGTGAAAAGGTACGGTGCTACAGCCATTTCTGACCAAAAGTGACCTAGTGTCGGCGGAATGGCAGGTGCCAACGCCAGGCGTACCTGAGAAGCCTCGACTTGATATAGATAAGGGTTATTTTTGTATCACACGGGTATAGAAGCTACTATTGATTTACCGTATACAAGACGCAATTTTACAGAACAATTACACTTTTCAGATTGTCCAAGACGCCCTAGAGGTAGCCAGTCAAGGCCGTACGTGCATAGTAATTGCTCACCGCTTGTCAACGATCCAAAACAGTGACGTCATAGTGATGGTGCAGGAGGGAAAAGCCACAGACAAGGGTGAGCTCACTCACTTGACTCAGTTTCAAAGGCAGTGGGCACGATGGCTGAGGGGAGGGGGTTTCTGCAAACGTCATTGGTGGAAGGACTGAATGGGGTGTGGTCGAATGCGCTCTCGCAGCGCTTCTACCAATGACGTCAGCAGTAACCGCCCGCCCTCAGCCATCAAGTCCACTACTGTCTTACGTTCCAAATTCAGTGACGTCATCACATCTTCCTTCCAGGCACTCATGAACATTTGCTGTTGAAGAACGAGCTGTACCAACGATTATGTGAAACTCAACGACTTGTCGAATCTCAATAACACTCCGACATCGATCGATAGCGATCGATAAGCTATCAGTTGGTCATTCTCATTTGCCGATTACATGTTTCTTTCTGAAGTTTTAATTTCGAATTGTATATATGAATCGATACTGATCCTGCTGATCTGTGAATGGTCTTCATTAACATAATTTTTAACATAACTAATCAACATCATGATTATTTTTAGATGATTTTTATAAAGATTAATTATTAAGATAACCTGTACTACAAACTATTGACAAGCAGTTACAGTTAGGGTCTACATTCTTTGTGGGGTAGGGGGGGCATCGCAGCTGGAAAGAGGTAGTTCTCAGCTTTGCAAAAGCTCTTTTGAAGGCAGGGCACGCCATACGTTGAGAGGTGGTGTGCCTTCAGAGGGGCAGCGCTCCAGCGAGCTGAGACAGGTCATTTCTGCTCGTCTGCGCCCTCTTACCGAGACAGCGTGACCTGCTCTAACAGGTTAGTCAAGTGTCAGGATATTTACCCACCCAGTGTGCCCTTTCACCTAGACAGCTTGTCGTGGCTTTGTAGCGTCAGAACATGATGTGACCAAAGTCGCGTTCATACTTTTCGAAATCAAGAGACAATGTCGCGCGCTTTGTAGAGCACGCTGCATTTGCGACTGACGCGCGCATCACCTTAAATCGCGCTGGACTACTGCATTCGATCACATTCGGAACAGTCTTCCTTTTACCGTTTTTACCGTTTGCAACAGTTCAATTATTAGCACTGGAGCGCGGTAGTCACGTTATACGAGAGGCGCGTCTGAGTCGCTCGAGTCGCGGACTTGAACACGGTCTAGGCGTCGCTCTAGAGCGACCCCTCCCGAGCCGCATAGCGCCTGCTGAGGTTCCTTAGATGGGAGATGGTGGTCATATGGTAGTTGCGTGAAAGAAGTAGGACCGTTGTTAAAGGGTTGCTTGCAGTACTGATTTTTGTCGTTTCAGGCGCCCCATATACTCTCCTTGCTCGGCGAGGTTCACTTTTGTGACAGTAATATGGTTTGTTCAACCCATTTCCCGTCCGATGAAAGTGGGAAATGGTTTGCCAGTAGGTTAACCAGTGAAAAAGGTAATCAAAATGGCAGAATCCAGTAAGCTGTGGCTCTTTTTTGACCTTCGATTGAGAGCTGCGCACTTAATGAAAATGATCGAAAACATGGTCCAGAATCGCTGAGAGGGGGCGGAGTCAGGAAACGTGCTTCTCCATTTCTCGCCTACTGTGGCGGTGAGGAGGGGAGTTCCGATTCCGATTTCCGATCCCGCTCACCTGGCAATCCCGAACGGTCTCCCGAATGGTACACCATTCTGTGCACCATTGCCGCCGGGTAAGAGCTGCAAGCGGGGCGTTAGTCGCAGGCGGAGCCCAATTTCCACATTTGCCTTGATAAGTCGCTTTGAGCTCGCAGCTCATCACAAAAGGCGTCCAGTTTACTTTTTATGAGGCTTACACGTCCCAGTAGGTCTGACGAAATTATAGCACCTACAGCCATAGGAATTAAAATCCTTTATGTGGACTCTCCGTAATGGGCAGCGTTTAGAGTTTGCGGAGACGCACGTCGACGCGCTGTGACGCGCTACGCTTGCAAGAGCGCTCCAATCGCATAGACGTGTACGCGGCCGCAGACGGCAATAGATCAGCTGCTTGTGAATTGAGAGATGTGGAAGATCTGTAGGGTACGCGTTACCTCACGCACTCCGACAACGCGCGTCGACACCTGGTCTGAACGTGCCTTACCGTAACCTTCCCCAACGCGCAATTCAAGGGTTGCATGCTGATTTGCTCTGTTTTCTGCCGATGATAACATTATAACCCTTGTAAACAAACCATGTATAAATACCCCCAGAGAGTAGCGGTAGCATTTATTCACTGTTCTAACCTCACTCGTTTATGTTGGCGTTTGTTGGTGGTGTTGCAGCCGGTGCTGCGCTCTATCATTACTGCTACGCGAACAAGGTACTGCCCAATAGTCTATTCGTCCAGACCGCTAAATTACTCATTTCAGAAGGAAAGCCCATTGCCCAATAAATCAGACCAGCAACTCAAATCTACAGATAAAGGTTTGACAGACTTAACACCAGTCATAGTCGTTGGCATTATGCGCTCTGGGAGGGGGCACGCTTCAGCGAAGTCTAGCCACGTCATGCTGTCTAGCTGGGAGGGTGCAGATGAGCAGACATGACGCGGCTTGGCCGCGCTAGAAGGTGACCATTCCAAGGCACATAGCCCTCAATAATCTTCAATGTCTGACTCGGATCCTTCTTTTTCAGTTAGCAGTGGCACTGAAGTTTCTGTGGAACCGGGAATGATCAGTTACCGATTGAAAAGAAATACACCATCGTTCAAAGAGACATCTCCTGCCGTCAGTTATCTGGGACAGCAACTCCGGAGAAACAACGTTCACCTCCACAAGCGCCGTCGGCTCCAAACTCAGCGCCGTCAAGCCGAACCAGTTCTCTAACGGTAACGACAATTACGGCCAGGAACTGTTGAAGAAAGCCTAGGAGTGCGAGTGACAAGGCTGCCCTGCTGTCATGGTAGAGCAGTGTTGAGCGAAGTTCACCGGGAGGGGAGGGGAGGGAGGGGGAAAAGGGAGGTCGGCTCGTAGGATCCCTTTTTGAATCTGCTAGAGTGGGAAGAATTCGAAATAACATCACCAAGTTCTTAACCGAAGTCGACTTCCACGCAGAACGTTAACGAAATACCTAATCTAGCAACTGTGCGGGCACTATCTCGGAGAGATGGCGCAAACGAACAGACATGAACGTAGCATGGTAGCGCCGCCGCGTCCCTGCCCAACAACACCCATCCCAGAACGCATACGATTTCCTCACTTCCGCTCATATCATTAACTGGAGATTGCAGTTGTGTCGAACGAACCCTACCCCTTTTCAGGGGATTGGTACGATCCCCCTCTGAATCTCTCCTAATCGAGCTGTCGAAAAACCATGAAAAGTCAGCAACCTCTCCCGGAAGGTCAAAGGGAAATACGATCCCACTCCTTCTAACAACGAACAAATACGACCACTTCCCTCCATGGAACATGAATAATCAACTTTCAAGATAAAATTTCCTCCGCCCAAATACGACTCCATCCCGCGACCAAATACGACCTCCCCCCCTCTGTAGGGAATCCTCAACAACGATGTGCCCTGCTTTCCGACTGCTCGCAGAAAGCTATAAGAGTCACTCAGCAAGAAATGGGTGTGGTTTCCTGCGCGACTCCCCCGTGTGGCGCTATGCCCACTTTGGACGAGTTCGTTCTTTTACGGATGAGGCTCATCAGAGAACAAAAAGTGGCTTACGACAGTGGGATTAGCCTTCTAAGAAGAGAAGGACAAGGCGTCGCTCAGAGGGGGGTAGTCGGCTTAGTGAGTGGTTCAACGTCTAGGATCCTTGTCTCACCCTCCCACCGACATGTCGATCCCTTCTCTCCCCCCCCCCCCACCCAGTGGGCACGATGTCTGGGGGCGGGCGATTGTTGCCAACTTTATTGGTGGTAGGGATGAGTGGGGTGTGGCCACTGCTTTTACGTCTCAGAGATGGCATGACCATCAGAATTGGCGCGCAAAACCTAAGTAATACAAATACCGCGCCAGATGGAAAGTCTCAGTGACCAGTGACCCTCCCCCTCTACCCACTCATAACTCATTCAAAATTAGTTTTTCAGAAGGTCACATCAACATCAATGGTGGAAACCGCACTGCCGTATAAAGGAGAAGTTTTAGCCACAATTAACTGAATAGTTCGCATATGTTGGAACGCTGTGATCTTGTAACAAATCTCTTTCATATGTATCGCGTGGAAAATGTCCAGCCATTAACTTATCGTGCTTGTGCACTATTAGTAAAAGCTCTAGTAAAAGCTTTACTCTCGTACTTATTGCAAATGAAGGGCTACGACCAACCTCAGTGTGTTGTCTTTGTGCGCCAAAATGAGCACTTTCGTAGCATGCGGGCGCAACTCGTAGTGTAGGCAGCTTTCATTTCGTGATGACGCGCGGCGGCGCGCTGTGACGCGCAGTAACGCGCTACAATTTCAACGGAGCTCCAACCTATAGACGCGAAAACAGTCGCAGACGGCAATCG